TGTGGATGAGAGGTGGGACCCAGGCCTGCAGTGTTCTTGCCTGTTCGTAGGTGGTCCATCGAGTGAGGACGAGGTAGCCTGTCCCGCTCACTCATGGAGCATCCCGTGACGTCATACACTCACTCGGCCTAATAGGGATCTTCTATATAAAGCACATGGATGGTACTATAATACACTATACAACACATATAAGGGGATCAGCAACTATGCTGACACACAAACACACACACACACACACTTCCTGCACTCCGCCATGTACTATCGACTTCCCCAGGAATTCCGTGAGCGTTATTATTATTATTTCATAGTCGGCGTCATCACGAGCGCTCGTAAAAAAATTATTTTCACTTTTCCACGATAATGAACCAATTACCGGAGGTAAAGGACACGCCACCGGGAGGTCCACACAGTCATACATTTATATTTATGTCGGTCACTCTTATCACGCTCACTCACCCTAGTTTTTCTTCATTCTTCTTCGCCTTCTTTCTACTTTTCCTCTTCTTACCTCCCTCCTTCCAACTCTCTTGCTTCTCCCCCTCTTAGCTTATTCTTATTCATCCCCCCCTCTTTCTCTCAGCTTGGAATGATACCTACCAGGTATTTCTCTCAGCAAAATTTTCGTTCAGTCTTGGTTAAGTCTGGTACCTTGGAGAACTTGTGTTGCTTTATCTCCACCTGTAGGAGTGTCACTCACTAAGTTACATCTCTCTTCTCTTTTCTTAACAGTATGTGTCTTGAGTATGTGTCTACGGATACTGCTCAATTCCTCAAGGACTGTACACATACACAAACGAGAGACTACCCCTGTAACACATTTAGGTTGTATCATGCATGCACCAGAAGGGAAAAAAAGTAATTAGGCCATGTTTTCAAAATTAATCATGTAATAACAAATACAAGGGCAAAAAATCTGGCAGTCTATCTTTCATGTATATACATACTACATCAACAAACCAAACCCAACTTAATGAATCTCTCTTATTCAAGTTACACTCACAATAATAACACTCCTAGTGCTATTATTGTGGCCTTTACTTAGTATGTGTTCTGGTTCTCAACTAGTCTGGATAATGAACATACATATTACACACATTACTTACAAAGGCATCTTATATGTAGCAACGTGAAGAATATAAAACTTTTATAGGTAGTATTAAAACATAAGGCCATAATTCTTTGCACCAATCTTAGGTGGACTCTGGCTTTTGTGACGCAAGTATTCTTGCAGTCTCCCCCAATCTTAACTACTTCCTTAGTAAATGACTGCAACACCTGACTTCCTCTCTCGTCTTCCTTGTTACCGCGGGGGTTAATTAGTTTCAAAGTTTACAAAATGTATTTCAAGTGTCAGTTTGATCGATCACAGAGCATTACTGGTTACAGTGTTCATGTCTCACAAAGTATTAATGATTAAGGTAACCTAATTCCGACTTTCTGTCAGTTTCGTTGAAGTCTGAAAGCAGCAGAAATCATGCAAGTACAAATATGTAGTGTACAAACGGAAGATACTGCAAGTATAAATTTCAAGTGTACAAACGGAAGACTGGTACAAAAAAGGGCGATATAAATATGGTGCAAAATACGAATAATACAATAATAATTTCGACACACAAATAACCCGCACATAAAAGAGAGAATCTTACGACGACGTTTCGGTCCGACTTGGACCATTTACAAAATCACACTAACCAGAAGTGAAGCAGGACGGCTATATATAGGCAGGAAGAGGTGGTGGTGGTGGTGGGGGGGTTTGGTGGGGGGTGGTGGTGGTGGTGGTGGTGGTAGTGTGTGTATTTGGAGTAGTAGTAGTAGTAGTTTTTGTTAGTGTAGTACAAGAAGGGTATAAAAATACCGAAAGGGAAAAATTAAAGACAATGTGCGGCTTTTGGTTGTCTTGGGGACGATGAATCAGAAACATCAGGTCTGCTAAGTGGTATCGGGTTGATCAGCCCCTGAGAATCCCGGGTTAAACCGCAGGTACCTGAAACTACCGGGATGAGCCCCAATTTCCCGGAACTACCAGGTTTTAACCAGAAGGTACCTGAGAACTACCAGGTAGAACCGAAGGTACCTGAGAACTACCCGGTTGAAAAAGCAGGTCCTGGAACTTCAGGTATGAAAAAACGGTACCTGAGAAATCAGGGATGAACCCGCAGGGACCCCCAGAACTACCAGGTATGAACCAGAGGGACCTGAGAACTACCAGGTATAAGCCTAGTACCTGAGAATACCAAATATGAACCGCAGGTACCCCCAAAACAACCAGGTATGAACTCAGGTACCTGGAAAATACCAGGTATGAGCAGGTACCTGGAACTACCCGATATAAACCAGAAGGGGACCTGATGAATGGTTTTAGAGAACCACCCTTTGAAATTAACAATATCAACTCTTGGGGTTTTTTATTGAGGAAAAAGTTTCGCCCACAAGGGGTTCATCGTCCCTAGTAGGGGAAATTGAAAAACAGGAGGAGAATGAGGTAATCAGTCCCCCAACCTTGGTCGTGTGTTCAGTCCACAATCTTGAATGAAAAACGGCATTTCAGCGGAGAAGCGCTTATAAACCTATGGAGGAGAGATGGCAGTCAAGGCTGTACATTTGTTCAATTGGAAAGTAGGTCGTGCCAAGAATTAGGCAAGCGAAAAATTCCCAAGTATTAAGATCCCAAAAATTTGCAGTGTCTGACAGATTTGTAGATGAATGGTTCAGAGAACCGACATGTTGATAAATTAGACACATATGCAACTTCTCCTCCTGTTCTTCAAGTTTCTCCTACGTATGGACTGATGAAGCCACTGTGTGGCGAAACGTTTCCTCAATAAAGATACCCAAGAGTTGCATATGTGTCTAATTTATCAGCAGGTACCTGAGAACTACCAGGCATGAACCAGCAGGTACCTGAGAACTACCAGGTATGAACCAGCAGGTATCTGAGAACTACCAGGTATGAACCAGAAGGTACCTGAGAACCACCAGGTATGAATCAGCAGGTACCTGAGAACTACCAGGTATGAACCAGCAGGTACCCGAGAACTACCAGGTACCTGAGATCTACCAGGTATGAACTACCAGGTACCTGAGAACTACTAGGTACCTGCACAAGTTTCTCTCGTCTTTTCTTAAAATTTCTACTTTTCTTTCAGAAACATTTCTTACAAAAGTAATTTCAAGACTGAAGCGTCTTGAACTGAAGCTGACTCGGCTCACTGAAGCTGACTTGGCTCACTGAAGAAGCTGACTCGGCTCACTGAAGCTGACTTGGCTCACCGAAGAAGCTGACTTGGCTCACTGAAGCTGCGTCTGCTCACTGAAGCTGCGTCTGCTCACTGAAACTGATTCGGCTCACTGAAGAAGCTGACTCGGCTGTCTGAAGAAGTTGACTCGGCTCACCGAAGAAGCTGATTCAGCTCAGTGAAGAAGCCGACTCAGCTTACTGTAGAGGCCGACTCAGCTCACTCAAGAAGCTGACTCAGTTCTAACTGTACTTGGGTTACTTCACCTTTGTATTGTTTTTCTACACCTGTCTTTCTTACCCTTAATAAATTATTTTAGTGCCCAGATCAGGGACCTCTTAAATAACTTCCATCGTTTCAAAGTATTCTGAAGTCCCAGTCACTTTGATGGGTGACAGATTCTATTCGAATAGTTAATGATCTATTGTGAATGGAGCACAAGTGCCTTAAAAAATATCATGTGGTAATCCCTATTTTTTTTTTATTTCAAAACGATCCTTGTAATATACGTGCGTTGCTAAGTCTGTTCCATGCATTTTAAACTTTTGATAGTTAGACATTATGTTCCCTGATCGTTTACCAGTTTCCTTAGTTCTATGAGAAGGCAAGAAAGATATCAGAACTCGAAAAAGTACAAAAAAATCTGTCTGCATAAAAAAACCATGCATCTGCCGGAACGCCTGAAAGCACATGACAGTAAAGGATAACATATACATGGAAATTTTTTGAAGGTCGAGTCCCTATTGTGCATAATGGTGGCCCGTAACCAGTTACTTGAGTGAAAGGAAGTGAAGAATAAATTGAGTGAAATACAGGGGTTTCATAGCCACAATTAGAGAAGAGTGCGTAAACTTCGATGTAATACTCACCAAGGTTCTACCAGCAGGTAAAACAAATACTGACAGAGCTAAGTTTGAAGGTTCAAGAAGGAACTGTACTACTTCCTACAAATGTCAGATCAGCCAGGTTGTAATGGTTATGTTGGCCTACGTGCCCATTGCTGCAACAGTCTGGGTGATCAAGCAATCAACAGGGCAGTATGACCTCAGGTTGGGCTGCTGCGTGGTAAAATTCCTCAAAAGCGGTCACACGTATGTCCAGTATTCTTTACTCTTCTTGACCTTAAGTTTTTGCGTATCGAAGCAGAAGGAAGACTTGAGGAAGAGAAAACATTTTTTAAAGAGCCTCTTATCGAATGAATCTTCTTGATTTTGTCATCGCCCGCAAGAGAACACACTAAGATGTGATTTGAGTGTCTACCACGAAGAGAAACAATAAAGGTGCGATAACAGTACCTTGTAGTAAACGGATGTCTACTGTTGCACTGGACAAGATCAGACATTTTATTTAAGATGATAAACCTTAAAATATGGCTGTGAAGTTGAGAGTTGTATAGTATAAGCGTATGGTTGCATAGTACACGGATGAGTGGTATAAGCTGGGTAGTAAAGTTTGAGTAATACAGAGTACTGCTTATAGTGAAAGCGAAAGGCTTCAGTGAGTGATAAGAGTTATGATAGTAGCAGCACCACACAGGGTGACGGGTGACTAGTGACTAGATGACGGAACATACCAGACACTCACTTGGCAGGAGACATACCTCTGATCGACACCGCCAGACCAAACTAAAAACTAAGAACATACATACGTTTGGTGGTGACTTCTACGAAACGGTGGAGACTGTACCCACCTGGAGAGTAATGATGGAAAAAGAGAGCCGAGGATAGTGTGGAAAAGGGTAGAGAGTAGTATAGCGAGACTCACCCCTGAGCGCCTTCATATGAGCCACAGCCATGCGGAGGATGGTGAGCTTGTCAGGCTTGCGTGCGAGGGCCGAGCAGGTGGGCACCATGTCACTCAACTCTGCAATGTACGCCGTCATCTTGTTCCGTCGCCGACGTTCGATCTCACAGTGGTTCTCCCTGCGCCCACAACATACCCAATACACATTAGTATCACACCATTCTATATGTAAATGTTCTTAAAAATATATCATTAAAATAAAACCACCAAAAGCCAAAAGATACAGTACTTGCTATAACATACACCACTTAAACTACCATTAAAGGAAAATGTGATATACTTGATATACTGTAATTTCTTTCTAAGGAACCTAATGGACAAAAATTTCCACCACGAGCATTCCCACACCTACGCCATCAACCTTATATACTTATAGAGTCTATACCTTAAAAAAGTAAAACATAATAAAAACCTTTGTTCTGAAACGACATGTCCCACCCATCTGTTTGCAGGGTGAAAACATCAGCTACTTAAGTTAAATCTTACAGATATCTTGGTGTACACGTCCCTTCAATAAATCCATCATGCCACAACTAAATAAGAAATGGGTAGGTTAAATGCTCTATGGTGCTAACGTGAGAATAGTAAGAATTATGTATATAGCCTGTATTAAATACGTAATTGATTATTCTTCGAGTATATTAATATCAGCCAAGGAAAATTATTTCAGACCCCTGGATTACTATAATCAAAAAGAAGCGCTAAGCCACAAGGGCTATACAGCTCAGACCCCTGGAACTAATGCAAAATGAAGCCCTCAGAATTATTCTTGGCTGTCCTAAAACTACCAAGGTTCTTAATATGAGAAAGGAACTTGATGTTTCTAGAATCCGTGATAGAATTACTGAAATTAACACTGTACTTGGTAACAGAATGCTAAGAAATGAACTAGACACTGTCACCGCAAATCTTAGTAAATGCCTAGCAGTAAATACACAAAAATCTAAATGGGTTGAGGAAATATGCAACTATATTAAGTTTTATAACTTGCACGAAATGTATCGCTGTAGACAAGATTATTTCATCCCTCCGTGGAAGTTGTATTCATTAACATCACATACCAGCAAGTCCCTCCCAAGATGTTCATCACTAGTAATCCCTTCCTTAAATCACTTGTAAAGACAACTGCGTAAGAAGAAAATTCTCGATCAACTGTTAGCAATAATACATCGCAAATTACTGTATACTGATGGATGTAGATAAAACCGGTAGAAACTATGTTGAGTTAGTCAACTGGGCCTCTACAGTGCAAACTGACTGTTTGCCATCCTAATGGCACTAAAGTTAACTATGACACTGAGCTTGACTGCTTATTTCTGATTCTGTGTCATCACTGAATGCTCTTAAGTTACATAATGAATAACATGCTCATTAGAGAAACCAGATATCGATACTCAAAAATCAGGGGAAAAGGAATTAATGCACAATTATTATGGATTCCATCATACACCGACTTACTCCTTCATGATACAGCTGATATAAGTTAATCCAATAAAGTACCCCGAAGGATAATGTGAAATTTAACTTTGGTATATCTGTGTCTAGTATTAGGAATAATATCAAGAGAGAATTAAATAATGAAACTGAATGTCATAAGAATGCAGCTAGAAACCTGAGCAGATCTATTACTCATTATGATAAAACGAACGTAGATAAGAATGCTTATGGAATGTGAACAGACTGATGTTGTAGTAGCCAGGCTTAGGCTTAGTTACAAATACTACTGGCAGTTTGGCAGACTTGCATACGATCAAACTCAACGTGTTTGGCAATGGTATTGACAACACTCAATACCGAAGAATCCTGGAATCATCACTTATTTCTATATCCGACAACTTCAACCTGAATAGTGGCTTCTATAACATAGCTGAACCACTTGCCAAGAAACTTCTTCATCGCTATCCCACATAAGAACACTGTAGAAGGTCTGCTCACAAACTTATCCAATCTCATTTACAAGCTACCCAAGATTTTAGACTCTACAACCCCACTCGGTACATCATCAGATGCAGCATTCTCCACCTGACCTCAGCATTCTGAACCTGACTATAAATACTCGCGTCCCTTCCACCCCAGGTAGATCTGTTTGTGACTTGAAAAAGCCCACTGTGTGGGTGAAACGTAGTCAATAAAGGATCACATTATACTGCATATGTGTTTATATTTCCCTTATGGTCTTATGTTCTTATGTCAGAACACTGAAAATACACTTGCCTACTTTCCTCATTATACCTATCGCCCTAAGTTTGGGTAGGATAGTTTAGTAGCTATGATAAGGATGATCTTCCTGTTCTAAATCCATATTGGTTTGGGTGTGTAGGTTATGCTGTTCTATAAAGTTTAAAATTTGATGTCTCATCACCAATTCAAAGACTTTTATGATGTTCGATGTTAGGGCTACTTGGTCTGTAATTTTTAGCTATGCTCTGCCTTCTTTATGCAAAGGAGTTATGTCCGCACTGTTTAAGGTTTCTGGAATTTCGCCTAGATCTAAGCTCTTACTTCAGAGAACACCGATTCGAACGAACGAACGAACGAACGAACGAAGAATAGCGCTGGAGAGGAGTGTTCTTAGTCGAAGATACAGAGGCAGGGCTTAACCCAGCAGCTAAGGCGATCGTGGGACAGACTTGAGAACAGGAATAGCAGGCTCAGTTGCGTTAGTCTTGTAGCAGTAAGTTAGTCGCAGGACGAGGTAGGCAGGGAAGAACTTCAGAGGGCAGCACTGGGGCTCGTGTTTGTGGTGTTTTGCACTTTTTTATAAATAAGGAATTCCACGACTCCAGTACAAATGCTGCTTGAGTGGGCATGCTGTTTATTTCTTTTCCGAATTTTGCAGGATTTGTACTTATGTTAGTTATATAATCGGCATCGTCTTCAGGGGTAACTAGAAAATTGTGTGCATTATCCACTCTGCCTTCGTTTAATAAGATAGCTGAACACTGATTCATGCAAATCTTTCAGAATTTTACTCATTTCTTTCTCATCGTCAGTGTATGATCCTCCTGTGATTAATGGTCCAATATTACACATAGTATTTACCTAGGATTTTGTGTATGTGCAGAAATATTTAGGGTTTCCAGCAATATCGTAGACAACTTTCTGTTCTCACTGTGATTCTTCGGTGTGAAATGAACCCTCAAGTTTTTGTTTTAACACGGTAATCGCTCAGAAAAGGTTGACTTTCCATCGTTGTGACAAATTCACATTTTAAAGCAGTTCGGACCCCCTGTTTTTCGTCTATACATTCTTCCACATTCTCTTTCCGTATTTGATCTTTTAGATCTTTCTCAGTGATACATATTTCACACAGACCTTGCGTGCTTCTGTATTCAGATATTCCAAGCTTGGTGAAGGTTCAGTGTGCTCATGCATATTTCCCAGGGTATGTCTGATTGTTCTTTGTTTATTGTCAAAATCGATTCTCCGTTGAAGTTAAACTTACTGAACATCCTTTCCTGTATACTATTTTTTTTTTCACCTTTGCATTTATACTTGTTTGTACTTCTATGATGTTATGATCGGCGTGTATTGAATTTGTATTTGTGATTATGTCTCTGATTAGTTCTTCATTGTTCATGAACATAAAATTAAGTATAATTTCATTGCTAGTGGGTTTTTGTAATCTGTTGGTTCAAAGTAAACTTTTCAACAAAGCGTCATTAGCTCTCTGGGATGTATCTGTCGAGCTAACGTAGTTCCAGGACTATTTCTAGTACAAAGCTGCAATTTTCCATCTTCCATTTCAAATTTGGGAGACTGAAATCTTCAAAGAGAATAAAACAAGGTTTTTAAGGCATCTGTTTTCCATGAATTCCTCAGTGTTGCTGACGGTGGTTTATATACAAGAATAATCACTAGATTCTTCTTCTACTTTAATACCCAATACTTATATTGCATTATTTGCAATTATTATAATCAAAGAAAGCGTTAAACCGGCATGGGTCTCATTATTTGCAGAGCTTATTGGTTCTGCGGACCAAAAAAAAAATGTCCTTCACACAAAGACTTACTCCTCCATGTGACCTGTTCACTCTGTCACATATATAAATACTATTTTTTCACCCCCGTCTCCTAGTCCAGAACCTTCCCTGTTTGTGTATCAGTAAATGTTCCACTTTATTTCTTTTACTATTTGCTTTAAATCTCTGCATGTTAGCAAAGTGGAAAGATTTACTATTTTGGGATGTCTAGGTTTTGTTAATAACTCTGGTGCTGTACCATTTTGAAGCTCTATATATTCCCAGTCTCTCCAGTAATGGTGATGCAAGACAGGTATACAATACCGACAAGATGAAAGTTAAGACACTTGTGCAACATCTGGTTATCTTTATTGTAAACGTTTCGCCATCCAGTGGCTTTATCAATACAAATTCTTGGACATAATTAGAAAACACAAGAACTATATACAAAAGATGAGGTAATCAGTCCCTCAGCCTTGGAGGTGGTGTTTACAACACCGTGGTGGTGTCTTAACTTAATCAGTAATGGTGATGCCTGATCCTGGTGTGTGACTCACTGATACGCTGTGTTACCTTGCCACTTGTCTATGTTCCTCTTGCATTTTCCTGTACTTCTTTGTTGGCTTCTTTGGTATATTTCTTCTAAAAAAAAATCTGTCTCCTGTTTCTTGGTATTACTTTCTATAAAGTTGTGTCATCTTCACATGGAACTCTGCGCAGCTCAGATCATAACATTTCCTAGTCGCTAATGACCGACACATGACTTAGGGTGAAAATATCTATATAAACATTCTTTATCAAAGCGACACCGTCCCTTTCTCAGTATACTGGAAAAAAAATTAACGTGTGGACTTCTACCACAGACACAAAGTCCGATGGCATATTTATATATTTCCGCTTTTACCTTTCCTACTGCTGCTTCAGCTATGTCTAGTGGTTTTCTCCTTTGGTCTCTGTTTATCATGTCCTGAGTGTATTTCTAGTACTTTATTATGTTGTTGCCTCTCTCTTCCTGAAAGCACCTCATGTGTACTATTTTGCATCACTGATTCTGTTGCTCTGCACCTGGAATTTCTGCTCACCTATGCTGCTATGCCTGTGTTTGTCACACCCATGCTGATCTGCATGTGTTTCCGTACTGGGAGAGAGGGAGGGAG